CATGAATGGATGGTTTACAATCTGCATCTCTGAAGTGAGTATACACGTCAATAAGATAGCAGATCCTCCTAAGTAATTAAATGTGTTATCATGTAGTATTAATTACTTATACTACAATCTTACTCAGCCTCCTCATAATATGGCGTGGTGATGTGAGAAACCTGGCTCTGTCCATGGGCAGATTTGGCAGATCTGACTCAGTCTGAATACATGTTGCAAGTACAGGCACAGTAACGAAGTATGTATCTGTAATCTGAAGAGACATTTACTGCTAGAAAGCTAGCCACAAAGGGGTCAATTAAGGTAGTAAGGGGAAGGAGCTCATAGCATCCCATGAAACTATCTACTAAGTTATGGTGAGCAAGTGGTTTACAATCTGCACTAAAGGAAAAAAATATCCTCACTAAAGAAAATATGCATCTTTAGGTGTTGGTAGGCTAGTAGCTACACAGCAAAATTTACACAATTATGAATAGCACCTTAAAACCATTCAGCAGCCTTTATTAAATGCTTACTATGTACAAAGTTCAGTCCTAAGCATTATGGAAAACAGAGAATTATGGCACTGGTACTGACCTTTATCAAAGCTAAAATTCTGGCAGGAACTATGTATGAGTTATCAAAGGATATGAAACATAAATACATAATGAAATATAACAGGATATGATAAGAAACGTACAAAATATGCAAGGATGAAGAAGAAAAAGAACATTTCTGAGGTGATAACAGGGACAGAATCAAAGAAAGTTTCATGGAACATGTGTCACCTGAGCTGCATTCTGAAGGATGGCTAGCAGTAACAGGAATGAAGACTGGGAGAAGAAAAAAATTCATTCATAAGCAAAGGCAGAAACAAAAACAAAATCATCAGATTGTACAAATAACAGCAAAGTAGTCTAATTCAGTTTAAGTATACCATATGTAATAAACAGCTATAACAAAGTCTAAAGAAGAAGGTACCAGGTGTGGAAAATCTTGAATGCTATGCTAAAGAGTCTGAACTTGAATCAGAAGGATCAGTTTATGTGATCAGATTTACAAGAAAGGTTAATCTACCAGTAAAAAATGAATTGGAATAGGGGAAATACTGTAGGCAGTAAGGCCAATTAGGAAGCTGCTATGTTATTCAGAGTGAGGGTCTGTATGTACTAGCAATAAGAAATGAAGAAATTGGTGGCATTCTGGAAGGGGCTAAATAGGTAATCTAATTCAACTTTCCATTCCGTGGGGAAAAAAAAAATCCCTTTCATATGTTGCCATACAGATTGTATTTCAAAATTCCCATGAGTAATCACACAAACTCATGGTATAGAACATTATGGTTTGGTTTTGTTTGTTTGTTTGTTTGTTTGTTTGTTGTTGGATAACTCTAATTATTAAGCTCTTTTTATAATGAATTAAAACCTGCCTCCCTGTAATGTGACTCTGCTAAATCTATTTCCGCCTTTTGGATCTACACAGAATGACTGTCTCTTCAGATAATTCAACAGAGAAGTCAGCTATAAAGCTTGTCCCCTCCTCCAAACCTTCTCTTTTTCAAATCAAATATTCCCAGTGTCTCCAATTAATCAAATCCGGCAACTGAACCCAAACATTTTTAGCAATAACTTATTACACGCAAGGAAAAATACTCAAAACCATTCCTCAAGACAAATGAGTCCCCTCATTAGACAAGTGATTATGCTCTAGATCTGATCCAGCTTATTAATGTCCCTCAAGATGTAAATCCAGGAACTAAATATAATACTCCAGAAGTGGTCTTTGAAGAGAATAAAATGGAACACTTTCTTCCTTATGGGCTAATACTGGCTAAAGTTGTATTAGGTTATTTTAGAAGCCAAGTGATTCTGCTGATTTATACTGAGGTTATATAGTCAATAAAATCACCCAAAATATTTTTCACATGAACTGCTGTTAACTTACATTTCCCCAAATCTCTACTTGGGTTAAAAAACAAACAAACAAAAAAACAACTGCATAAGTATAGTACTTTGCATTCCTACTTAATGTCATCTTACTAGAGTTTAGCCCATTGCTTCAGCCTTCAATCTTTTGAGTTCTTCTAAATTTGTATGCTAATGTCTTGAAGTAAAAATTAATGACATACCATATGTTTTTAAAGAAAACTAGTGGTTTAATCCTAAATACTACATGTTCACTTAATTGGGTAACCTCAGGAAAGTCACCCTAACTACTCTGGTCTTCATTTACCCCCTCTGTAAAATAGTTATCTTATTTGCCTGAAGGAATTGGATCAGACTCTATGCACTCTTTTTTTTCTTTTTGGTGAGGCAATTGGGGTTAAGTGACTTGCCCAGGGTCACACAGCTAGTAAGTGTCAAGTGTCTGAGTCCACATTTGAATTCAAGTCCTCCTGACTTCAACGCTGGAGCTATATCCACTGTACCACCTAGCTGCCCCCAGATTTTATGCACTCTTGGGATTTCTTTCAACTCAGATATATGATCCCAATGTTTACTGACAGAGGGAACTTCAGGAAGATTTGAGAATTGTTTTATTTTTCTCCTTGTAAGGTTTATGGTCTTCTAAAAAGGTGAATTAAGTAGGGTAAACATAATATGATAAAAGGAAAAAATGTTAATCTATTCTTTCCTTAAAACAAAAGGAATTTGTCGATTTGGGGAGAGATACATTGAGAAATGCAGGAAAAGCCAAAAGGTATGAATAAAAATATATTTAGAAAAAAAAAAGGGATCTCCAAAAGTTCTTTTAGGATCATGTTTCATATATTGATCAAGAGTTAGACTAGTTCTTTTGGGAAAAAATGTACATAAGGAAAAAATATTCTTAAAAAAACTTAATAACACTGAATACTTTCCTCAAAGAGAATCCTTTTGACTTTAAAAGCAGAGATGCAAATTTAATATATTATAAAAATGATTTCTCCTATATAGGGTGATATATGAAATTGAAAATGATCTTCGTATTTCTTTTGAATAAATTTTATTACATTAATTAAATAAAATTAATCTGGGGGTCTGAAAAATGGGTTGATCTTACATGCACAAGAATAATTATAGATTACAAGGTACTCTATAGTTATAAAGAATTTGTACATGCAAATGCACATTTGTATACACTGCATATTATATCATGTAAATATCACAAGATCTACTTGGTAGACATCTTCATTTTATAGATGAGGAAACTGCTTAAAGCTCTAGCTCTACTCTAATGCTGCTTCTATTACGCTATGCTGCTTTTCAAGTATACTATTACTGCTTGCTAAATATCAATATTTAAAAGAAAACCCTATAAGACAGTCATGATAATTTCAAATTCTGTGTCACAATTAATAAAGAATATTTAACATTAACTAAAGAGAAAAAAAAAGACAGTAAATGATAAATCCATTACAGAAGAGTAAACTCCCAGAGGCAAGAGCAGAATATAAGTCAATTTGGTTTCTTCCAAATGCTAACTCTCCTATTTCCCTTTGAAATTCTATGACCATGTTAAAGTAGAATGACCAATTAAAGAAAATAAAAAGTTGGCTCTACAAAAAGTAAACCTGTTACATGTATTTTCTTTACTAAGATTCCAAACTAAAACTACAGAAAGAAAACTGTATAACAATAGAATGCTATAAAATATACCTTTACAAGAAGCAGAATTTTGAAAAGGATTTGCTAGAATTAAAAGACACTGAGGTCTTCCCTTCTTGACTAAAGTGAGGTGAGTTTTCACTTTTAATGGGAGTGAGGAAAATGTCACCGTTTTTCCATTTTAAATAGCTGAATCATTCAAAAGCTGTAGAATTCAGGAAGCAGCAAATATTGATATTCTTCTAGCTCTTCTTTATGAAGTGTGCCAAATTAAATTTCACACCAGAAGCCACTGAGAATACATTAAGAGAGAGATGAATTTCTGATACTGGTTTTAAAGAATGAGCTACTTTTGGCTATAGAACAGATCTTTGACGAAAGAAATGAACCTATTTAAGCAATTTATTCATTCATCAAAACTGGGTGCCTTCGAATAGCTCTGTGTTATGCAGTAACTGTAGCAAACAGGCACTAGGCAAACGTCTAAAATCTGGGAGGAAATCTTACAGGGCCCAACGTCTGCTGGCAGAAACAGAAAAACGCAAAAGGAGAATTCATCCAGTACTCCTGCATAAATCTCTAGTGGTAATATGGTCACAAGCCAGCGCCAAGGGATTAACAATAGCTAAATCTCCGCATCACTTTCATGCTCGATTACATTATTAAAAACTCCTACCATTCTCCTCAGACACTGGAAGACAAGTTAACTCGTTTTTAATCTGGGTTCGCAGATGGCTATTTAAAGACTTCTTTAATTCAAAAAAAAGTCAAAATGGTCCTCAAATTAACATCCACCTGGGAGATTCCAAACAACCAAGAAATAAACTCAGGCATAGGTGTTCAGCGGTTAGCAAGCATATGGCAGGTGGGGAAATGACAATCTGTTGCTTGTCTCTACGCGTCTGTGTGTTGGGGGGCGGGGGGCGTGAGTCCTTCTGTAGGTTGGCTAGGGCCTCTTAACCCCACTCCCTAAATAGTAAATGCTAGATGCGCGGTAGGCTGGGCATATGGATGGACGGACGGGAGGGTGGATGGCTGGCTTACTAGATGGGAAGACGGATGAGGGGGTGGACGAGTTATTTGTCCTTATCCACCCTACAGAGGTGACAGTCACCTGCAGGCCCAGGGATTCCTCTCGAGGAATCTGCGAGCCTCCCGCGGGGCCTGCAGCTTCCTCCCCGAGGGAGGTCGAGGAGCTGTGGGAGGCAGGAAGCCTCCCATCCCCACCGCCCAGCCTCCAGCTCAGTCCCGTGGGGAGGTGGAGGCTGGGGTGCGTGTTATCCCTCCTGCCCCACAATGCGGACGCCAGGCCCACTCCGAGGCCCCGGGGACACGGAAGAGAGAGGGGGCGGACGGCGGCGGAGCTCCCCCCGCACCAGGAGAGCGGTGGGGGGCGGGGGGAGGAAGAAGCTACCCCGCAGGGCTGGCGCTCACCCAAACAACCCTCTCAAGAACGAGTGGGAGGACTTCACGCGCTTCTCGGCCTCCGCCATCAGCTGGACCGCCTCCCGTTCCTTGCCCGCGTTGTCCATGCCTGTCGCCTTCACACTCTTTGGATTCCAGGTAGGGAATAACGGAGTAACGGCGGCGAAGCTCGACGACTCAGCCTAACGGCACCCCGAGCTACTGGCTGGGGAACGCACCTCTAGAGTTTCCCCACAGCGGAGGGGCGGGGGGAGTGAAGGGGACGAAGCGCAGGCCTGAATCACAAAGCATTTCGGGATTTGTAGTCCGTTCTCCCCGCTTCGATTGGGGAGTCAGGAGAGGTGGAAACTACATTTCCCAAAAGAGAGCTGGACCGGTGCAGTGTGCGGACTCGCTCCCTTCCGCCCCCTGCTGGGTTAAACCCGTAAGCTAGAGATGCTGCATTTGGGGGGGTGTGACCCAACGTAGGAGGGATTGGTTGGGAGGGTGCGAGTTAAGGAGTCTGCAGAGGGTGGGAAGGATAAGGGCCACATTTTGATTAGCGATTTAGTCCCTTCACCAAACCTTTATTAAGGGCCCACTTTGATAGAGAGCCCTGTACTAAGGCACTGGACAAAATAACAAATTTTGAATAAGGTAGTGCCCCTCACGAAGCCGGAAGTCTAACGGGGGGAAACAGGACAAATACGCAGATAACAGGACACAAGGATACATCCCTAGGTCCACAAACACCAGGCTTTATTTTCTCTTCAGAGTCCCTGGAATATATTCCTTAAGCTTCCACGAAATAGCAGAATTCTGTTAATAATCGTCATTGACAGGGCATTAATCTCAGGTTGGGGTGGGGATGGCTGCAAGCAGCAGAAGAGAAAATCCTGCAGTCAGGAGACGCGAGGTGTCAAATCCCCGGTGTGACTCTATGCAGCTCAGCGTTGACAGCACTGAGGCAGAAGTGGAACTTGACTCACCTGCGTGATCTCAGCCTCTCTAGCACTCAGTTTCCTCATCTATAAAAACGAGACTGTTGAACTAAATCACCCCTAAAGTCTTTTCTAGCTGTAGATTTATAACGTGGTTTCCATATCTGCAAAATAGAGGCTTCTGATTCTATATAGACTTTCTTTGCCACAGAAGCCTATTCATCTTGAAAGTTCACCCCCATACCACCTGAACCCCTGCTTTTCAATTTCCCCAATTAATATGTGTGCTCCTTGAGGGCAGGAACTCTTTCTGTGTGTGTGTATGTGTGTGTGTGTCTGTCTGTCTCTGTGTCTGTCTGTCTGTCTCTGTCTGTCTCTGTCTCTGTCTCTGTCTCTCTGTCTCTCTCTCTCTCTCTCTCTCTCTCTCTCTCTCTCTCTCTCTCTCTCTCTTCCTCTCGGCTTATTTATATTCCCAGCATTTAACACAGTGCCTGGCATATAATAAGAACTTAATAACTTAATAAATGCTTATATACTTGATTTGACTTGACTTCATACCGACCTCACAGGGTCCTTGTGAGGAAATCACTTTATAAATCTTAATGCACTATATAAATGTCACTATACAAGATGTCCCACAAGTCTTACTGCAGTTTTATGCTATTAAGGCTTAAAACTGCACTAATACTTTTGGAACACAATATATGTAGACTACAAATACACACACTACCTGATTCAACATCACACACACATTCATATGTTGTGTGTATATATTATCATTTCAGCAGGGCATTTCTCCATTTGGCAATGCCTAGGCCCCCAACTGGAAGCCTCTCTCTTCACTCCCCAACCCTTTAACCAGTTATTTAAATGGTGATTAGAGAAACAATATTCATGTGTCTGCGCCTGGGTTTCCCCCTCAGAGTATCACCACAGATTTTTCTGTTATGTTGGATCAGGTAGAAGAGGAAGACCAGCTCAAGGTCATCTAGGATTCCTACACTATGTCCCTGGCTAATAGCTGCTTATCAGTATTAATGCCTTCATTGCTGTACATGTTAAAAAATTACAACCACTCTTGGCTGCTGGATTGATGCTAAATGACAGCTTAGCCAATGTGACTGGTTAAAAGAGAAGAGAGTAGTCTCCTGAACACACATTGTTAGTGTGTTTCATTGGCATAAAATTCCTGCGTGCAACCTGAGGGTCAAAATATCTAATGAATGTCAATGCAATGGAGAGGCAGTGGGTAGCATCTCAACAGGAATCTCGGCAGGGCGGCAGATACACTAAAAGTGTATCTGATTTCTATTTTCATCATCTCTTCCAGGAATCATTTGATATCCACCCACCCTTCAAAGGAAAAGCAACTAAAAAGTCATTTAAATTGTTATTTCTTAAGAGTGATATGATTTGATGGAATATGGGAAATGAATCACCATTCCTTAGCAAAGATCTCAAAGGTTATTTTTACCCACTTCAGTCTTACTTTCCATACTCCTCCAACTTTGTTTTTATTTTTGTTTTCTCTTGCTTATACATGTAAATAAAATTTTACTTAACTCTAATTAGTCTTTTTATGGATTATTTTATGTTTCATTCACAAAGCTGCCATGTACTATATGCTATATTCTTTAGCAAATGAATATATCTCTTATGGTGCTTCAGCTTTGAGCTTTCTGCCAGGGGAAATCCCATTTGTCTGAGTGAGATATTCAAAAATCTATTGTTCCTCATTTCAGGGCATTTCCAGGCCCATTTTACAGGGAGTCATTTTTAAATGCTGCTTAAGGATTACTTCCCCTTGGCAATGCTAAAGTCCATTTGGTGAAACAAATAAGTAAATCAATGTCAAAAGAGAATTTGCAACAACTATTAATATTCCTGAGATGCTGGCACAGCCGTACTCAGCTCCACAGATTATGAAAATAAGGTGTTTCTTTAGATTTAGGTATGAGAGTGGACAAACTCCTTGAAATAAATTGATCAGGAAGGTAACCGGTAAAGCTTAGCTGAATTGTTGTTGACATACTGAACTTTCAGTTTACTAAATACATTAATACATGTTGTTTCATATGATCTGCACAATAGCACTGTGAGGTATGTTATGTGTATATATCTCCATTTTGCAAGTGGAAAACCTAAAACTCAGGAAAGTGAAGTGATTTGTGAAAGGACTGATTATCATAGCCGGATGGATGGCAAGAGTCCCAAGATACCCAAGATGTAATTTTAAAAATGCAAAATTTTAAAAATTCTGAGGTTATACTAATCCTTTCTTACCTTTCCAGTCCTTCCATCTCCCCCCCCCCCCGCCCCGGCCCTTGCCAGTTTTCTTTGTTCCAGTGACCCTGGCCCCCTGACTTTCTGGCTGTTCCACAAACAAGATACTCCATTTCTCTGCTCTGGGCATTTCCTCTGGTTGTCCACAAAATCTGGAATGTTCTCCCTCCTCATTTCTGCCTCCTGGCTTCCCTGGATTCCTTTAAGTTACAATTAAAATTTCATCTTCTACAGCACACCTACACAACTTGGCAGTAGTAGGTAGGGGCCTAAATTAAAATAGACTAAACTTTGTCAGGCCACAGATAGGCTTTTAGTGGATCACTTTCCAAGTAAAGGTATAATTGATGATTAAACTATTTTGCAAATAAATCATATTAAAAAGGGGAAATGTCAATTAATTACACTTATTTCTTAAGATTTTTATCATGAAATGACATTAATGTTAAAAATTTACTTTGCTAAACAGTACAAGTTTTAATACATTTTTTAGATTTTCTTGCTGTTTACATTTAGTAACAACTGAAAACATAGTGAAAAGATATGACTCTTGGTCCTCTCAAACTAGAGACAGACTGACAATGGTTGGTCACCATGGGTCACATGACAAACAGGAGAATGTGCACAGTGGCAACCCACTCACCAAGTTACATGACGGGCACAATAATGACTAGTGCAAGGCAGGTTAAGGGGCACAGACAAAGCACTTGTTACATCTTTACTTTCTTTTACATCCTCTACATTTTTCACAGGCTGCCCGAAATTCTTTGGCAGGCTGCAAGTGGCCCATAGGCCATATGTTGTGCTGGCCTCTTCTATAAGAAGCCTTTCCTAATCCCTCTTAATTTTTGTGCCTTCCGTCTTTTCATTATTTCCCATTTAATATATATAGCTATAGATATCTATACATCTCTATCTTGCTCATACATATTTGTTTGCTTTTTGTCTCTTCTATTAGATTGTGAACTCCTTGAGGGCAAGAACTGTCTTTTGTCCCTTTTTGTATCCCTGGAGCCTAGCACAATGCCTGGCATATAGGAGCCACTTAATAAATGTTTATTGACTGACTGAATATTAAGCTTAGCACAGTGCCTGTCATAGAGAAGGCACTTAAATGTTTATTGAGTGAATATTATTACACCCTGTAAATTGGCAAAAAAATTTTAAAATGGAAATAGTGAATATTGGAGGAGTCATGGAAAGAGAACTAATACATCATAGGCTGAGCTAGAGATTGGTTCCTCCATTTTGGATAACAATTTAAAATTAAGCAAGAAAAGTGATTAAGCCATCCAAATCCTTTGACCCAGTGATCCTATTAATGGGCATATGTCTTCCAAGGAAATCAAAATGCCAAAACAAAGGTCTAATATACGCCAAATTATTATTAGCATTTTTTCTGCAAAGAATTGAAAATAAAGTTGGCATCCATCAATTGGGGAATGGCTAAATGAACTGTGGTTCATGAATGTAATCAAATATTATTATTGTTCAGGAGAAAGTGGCAAATGTGAGGAACTTAGAGAAACGTGAGAAGACATATGGACTGATGTAGAGTGAAATAAGTTAAATCATGAAAACAGTATACATAATGACTACAACAATGTAAATGATAAAAAAACAATAAAATTAAATTGAACTCTGAGTAATCAAAAGATGTTAATTATTCTGGGAAATAGATAATAGAATATATTTTCCTCTTTTCAGAGAAGAGACAGGGGACTATTTCAGCACAATATTATATGCTTTATCAGGCACAGTTATTGTAGAGGGTCTTTTTGTTTTGGTGTGGGGGGAGATTTCCAGAAATCACTGTGATATAAAAATAAAAAGCATCAATAAAACCTATTTTTTAAAAATGTTACGGCAAAATCAGAATGGCACTTTGCCAGATCAGTCTAGAACTTTTAGGAACAGAGAGAGAACCCCATATTC